TACCCAGGCTGGAGTGCAATGGCGCGATCTTGGCTCACCGCAACCTCTGCCTCCTGGGTTCAGGCAATTCTCCTGCCTCAGCCTCATGAGTAGCTGGGATTACAGGCACGTGCCACCATGCCCAGCTAATTTTTTGTATTTTTAGTAGAGACAGGGTTTCACCGTGTTGACTGGGATGGTCTCGATCTCTTGACCTCGTGATCCACCCGCCTCGGCCTCCCAAAGTGCTGGGATTACAGGCTTGAGCCACCGCGCCCGGCCCATCATGAGCAGAATTCTTAGTACCTTCCTGGAAAATTTTGAATCCATCCAGCTTCTCAATTTTTTTTTTTTTTTTTTTAAGAGAGAAATATTTACGAAATGAGTTTGTACAAGACTGGCTGTAGTTCAAGTTTTACAGAAACAAGCTGCTTATCTAATTCCTGTCTGAAGGACATTTATTTTTATTAGCAGAAATTGTACCAGCTATCCAAATGCCTCACCTCTTCAATGGAGAAAGAAGATCTTGAGAAAGTCTTTTGAGGACTTTTAATTACACCTCAAGTAATTACATATTTGTATTATCAACTGTACACACACACAATTGAGAGAAAATACATGGATAAAGATATACACCACATCTTAATAGAAACAAAAAGGAAAATATATTTGCATCTTCATGCTAAAGACCTTCTAAGCAGTTCTATATGAAGAATAATAAATTTAGACTTAAAAAACTTATGTTAGCTACAGATAGACATAAAAATTTGGCTAAAGGCAAATTCCTGCTATAAAACATGGTCCTGAAATTTGGTTTTGAAATTCACATACCCTGTCCTTCACTGAAAGACAGAATGACTTTAAGGAAGATAAAGAACTTTGGTTCAAATATGTATTAATTTAAAAAATTCCAGTAACATATGAACTGTAAATAGGAACCTTATTTTGTATTCAAGTTTGTACCTTTCTGAAGCACATCTTTCCAGAGAATCATGACTGATAACCCTGGAGACCATTTCCCTGAGAACTGCGTTTGGATTATTTGTCCTGAAAGCATCTACTCTCTTGTCCTTGAACACTCATCTGCCACTTCTGCCCACTCACCCAGCCTGGTGCAATCTTCCTGCAGTTTATCCTATTGACTTGGCATTTTACTAACTGGAAGTTTCATGTCATATGCCACTTTGGAGATTTCACGCATATGTTCACCTCTGAATCATTTACCAAACTGTTTCATAAGGAAGGTTTAGAGCCAATTGCTGGTGTGCCTCGCTGTTTAAATCTCTTTATTTAGGCATAATGGAATGTTCAAGTGGAAGTTTTAGCTGATGTCCTAATGTGAAAGGCATCAGGTACCCAAGAAAATTGTGAATTTATGAATTTTAGAAGTGCTATGAATAAAAGTTACAATACTCTTGGAGTTTTTACTCACATCAACAGCATGAAAGGATTGTTTCACTGAGCATTTGTAAAAGTGGTATTTTTTTAAAAGGTGATACCCACTTCACAGAATCTTGAACTTGCTGTGAAGACAATATCACTTCCACTTTTATCTCAAGTCAAGGGAGAATCTTAAAGTGAAGCAACAGAGTGAACTCTTAGTATATAAGGGTAAGAAGAAAAGTCAAGTTTCTACAGAAAGGAGGGAGAAGGCAGGACCCACCGAATAAATTTAAGTTAGCAATAGCAGAGAAAAAAGAAAGTTGTTTTTCTGATTACATTCCACGTGTTAGTGCTTGTTCCATGCACTGACTACACATGCAGGTGCCATTTATACTATGATCTTATGTTTAGTGTTTTCAGGGCAGTTTTTATCCATTAAGTATTTTTCATGGTGATTTCTGTTTTATTAAGTTGTTTTAGTACAGAATTTTATCAAACACTTCTAAAAACATTATATTTATTGCTATGCTCAGCAAAACATTTAGTTTTTTTGTTCTCTAAGAAGTCTAAAACGTCATTTAGATTGTTTCCCCTGATAAAATAAAATATACTTTTCTACCAACATGTTAAGTGTGTGCAAGCTTTCAACGATCTTTTATTCCACAGTAGATGCCATCATTAAAGCTTAGAAAGAGATGAGACTGTGCCGCTCCCCTGCCCTCTAAAAGATCAATAAAAGACAGAATAATAAGCCGAGAAAGAGAAGTGAGAGAGGTAGAGCTCTCCAAAAAGCTAGTGGAAGTTTAAAGAAAGAAGGTCAATAGAGTCAAATGATGCAGAGATGTCACAAAGGATAAAAACAGAAATTATTGTGATTTAGTGAGTCAAAGTGACCTTTTTGTGTCTTTGAACCAGAGGTGGGATGTAATACAATAGTGCAGAGAGTGGAGGAGTAAATGACAAGTGAGCCAGGGAGGATAAAGAGGAACAGTGCTTTTTCAAGAAGTTTATAGAGAGAAATCTTGTGTGTTTTTTAAGTAAGGAAACTTAGGTCTCCTTGGAGGCTGGGGAAAACAAAACATAGAAAGTGCAGGACTAAAGGTGTGAGCGTGTAAATGGGGTATAGCTGGAACCTGGAGGATAGAAAAGGAGAGGAGGAAGAGGCCAGGAGAATAGGGTACGTCTGAAAAGAATCACACAGCAGAAAACACGCAAAGATAGAGGTCAGTTGGAGGGGGAGAAGACAGAAGTTGAAAAAAAAAAAGCCTGAATGAGATTGGTAATACCACCACCCCCGTCCCCGCCAAAAAAAAAATGCTATACCAGGAAAGGAGTTCACCATTCTTGGTCTCCGTTTTCTTTGTGATGCAGGTGGTAGTTTTATTTGCTGAGTGCATATGTGAGTGGAATAAGGTTGCCCCTTCACAAGGGAGAGTGGAAGCTGAAATTCCCAAGGGAACATCTTTTTCTAATTCTTACAAAGACACCCTAAGGAGTAGCTACAGCCTTTGGTAAGAGCTTTAATATTAATAAAAGTGGTGAAATATTGGAAAAATATCTGTTTCTAAAGAGTTATTCTATAAATGGTTAGCTAATTCATTGTAGAAGACCTAAGCATGACCACAATTTGATCTAATTTCTCTAATTTGTTTTTGCAAATGAAAAATGGGGCTTGGGAATCCCCTGATCCTCCTAAAGCAAGATATTAAATTCTGTTTATTATATTTCAACTGGACTCTGCCATTTAGTAATTTTACAGTCTTCTACTATTCATTTTTGAGTCCCTTAAGATACTCAAGTGTACTTCTTGAGTTCTTTTTTGACATGTCTAAATTTTAGTTGATACATTTAACACATGGGCTCCTGTGATATCTTCTTACTTTTTGAAAACTGCCTTTCCTCATATAGCGTTTTTTTTTTTTTTTTTTGTATTACCAGTCTTATTCAGGCCTTTTTTTTTTTTTTTTTTTTTTTGAAACTGATCTGATCTATTAGCTTTATTTTTCTCCCCTGTGGTATGGTCTATTCTAATTTTTTCACTTTCTTATGGACAATGTTCACATTTTATGTCATTTTTTCTTGAAGTAAATAACCTTGCATTGAAAATTTGGCATTTTTCTTTTCTCACCAGCATGTTGAATCATCCATTTGTCTGGTAGCTTGAGACAGCTAGTAGAGGAGTCACAGGAGTAGGTACCTTTCCATGAGCTCACCTCTGTTCTGCTCTCATCTCACAAAGGATGTGACAGATACTTCACAGAAGGCAAAGAGTAAATAGGCCAGAAGTATCTTATTGGGGGCTTAGCACTGATTTTGGTTCTGACAAGCTGCCTACTTAGAGACAGCAGTCTGCCTCAGTATGTGGTAGACCATGCTGTTGGGCCCATATATAGCCTCCATATCTGCCACTGTGGCCACCTCATTAACATACCCACTATGTCAGTTCTGGGATGACTAAAATCAACTGGGTGAGTCATTTTGTCTACTTACCTGTTGAGTACTTATTTCCTTGTAGTTGCTATTTGCTGAGCATTAATGGCCTATACAAAAAATCTTCACATGTCATGCCCCTTCCCAGGTGTTTGTCCATAGATTCAGCAATTTACCTTTTACTTTGGAAGGAATGGCCAGTGGATTCCTAAATATTTCACTGTAGGGCAAGTCCTGA